GTCATGACGTACTTCTTATTTTTCAAAGACCAGAGCCTCTGAAATTATGCCTGCTGGTTTTTCATTACCTTCAAATTATATATATATATAGGAGTTGAAAGCTCACTCTGTTGCCCAGGCTGGAGTACATTGGCATGCTCAAGGCTACTGCAGCCTAGACCTGCTGGGCTTAGGCAGTTCTTCCACCTCAGCCTTCCAAGTAACTGGAACCATAGGCACATGCCATCATGCCCAGCAAATTTTTTGATTTATTTGTAGACATGAGATCTCACCAAGTTGCCCAGGCTGGTCTTGAACCCCTGGGCTCAGGCAGTCCTCTCACCTCTGCTTCCCAAAGTGCTGGGATTATAGTCATGAGCCACCACACCAAAGGATTGTTTTGTATGTTCAATGTTTTATAGTAGATATATAAGAAAGAGTAAAGGATTGGTCTAATGCAGGCTACTTTGTCATGACTAAAACCAGTCTCTGTAAAATAAGGTTAATAATCATGCCATCCTTATAGGGTTGTTCTGAGGACATAATTTATGTACACAAAGTGCTTAGAAAAGTGCCTCATATATAGCATTCTTATTTTAGCTTATAATTTTACTGCCTTCATTATCTTATTGAATAAGACCAAGAACATTATTATAGTTTAGTTATCCGGTGAATATCACTCACTCAACATATACACATACTCCTTATAATTATATAAAATGTTCGTTTCCCCCTTTTAAATGTTTAAAAAAGTTGTTGTGCTCTCATCATTGATTCTAAAATTAAGTCTCTATTTCATCATTTTCTGTGCTATATATTGTTTCTGTAATCCTACCTGTATAGTCCTAGCTGAGTCTGACACCATCAACTAATACAATACCATAGACTAAGTAGCATTTAAAACAGAAATTTAAAATAATAACTTGAGCCCAGGAGTTTGAGACTAGCCTAGGTTAAGACCTTGTCTGTACAAAAAATATAAAAATTAGCTGAATATGGTTGCATGCACCTGTAGTCCCAGCTCCTTGGGGGTGGGCTGAGATGGTAGGATCACTCTAGTCCAGGAGATTGAGTCTGCAGTGAGCCAGGATTGTGATACTTCACTCCAACCTGGGTGGCAGAGTGAGGCTCAGTCTCAAAAAAATTTTAAAAATAAAATAAGTTTATTTTTAACAGTTCTGTAGACTGGAAGTCCGAGAACAGAGTTTCAGCATGGTTGGGTTCTGGTGATTTTTGTCTTCCTGGATTTCAGACAACTGCTTTCTTCTGTGTTCGTTCTCACATGATAGAAAGAGCAAGCTCTTTGTTCTCTTCTAATACATCATGAGGACTTTCCCTCCATGGCCTCATCTAAATCTAATTACATCCTACACAATTCAGTCTAGAGCACCACCCTTCTCTCTGGACTCATGTTTCTTTTAAATGAAATTCATTTTTTGTTTTTTGAGTTGTAGTCTCAGTCTGTCTCCCAGGCTGGAGTGCAGTGGCACCCTCCCTCACGGCTACCGCAATCTCGACCTGCTGGCCCAAGTAATCCTTCCACTTCAGCCTTCCAAGTAACTGGAACTACAGACGTGCGCCACCATGCCTGGCTAATGTTTTTATTTATTGTAGAGATGAGGTCCCACTAAGTTGCCCAAGCTGGTCTCAAACGTGTGGGCTCAGGCAGTCCTCTTACCTAGGCCTCGCAAAGTGCTGGGATTATAGGCGTGAGCCACTGCGCCCAGCCCTGAAGTTCATTTTTTAATTGCTCTTTGAGTATCTCTGAGAGGTAAATTTTTAGTCTTTGAATGTCTAAAAGTGGTTTTATCCTGCCCTTAATCCTGAATAATTGTTTAACCAATTATGGGATTTGAGGTTAATAATTATTTTTTTCTCAACTCTTTGAAGATCACACTTCATTATCTTAGTGTTAATTGCGTCTTTTTTGTTGTAGTTAATTGCTTCTTATAAGCAGTCAATGTTTTATTAATGTTTTATATCTGGTAGTTTTTGCAATTTTAATGTCCTACTTCATTGTGAAATATTTAGGTGTGTGATTTTATTATTACTACTGCTTAATAGTACACTTGGTTTTTTTAGGTTTAAAAAATAATCTTGGCTATCATCTTTTAAAATATTTTTTGCGTCATTTCTTCCATTTATTCTTCTAAAACTTTTATCAGATCTGTGCTACAGTTCGTCAGTCTTCTCTGACTCATAATCTTTCTCTAATATCTTTTTTGAAGTATAATTTATATACAGTAAAATTAGCTGATGTTAAGAGTACAGTCTGATCATTTTTGACAAATGCATATATGCCCCTGTAATCCACAACTTCATCGAGCTCTTGAACATTTCTATCACCCAAAAGTTTCCTCAGCCCTTCCTAGCCAGCTAGCTCTCAACAGAGCAACTTTTGAAGTCTATCATCATAAATTAGTTTTCCTGTTTTATAATGTCATATAAATAGAATATTAATTATGTATTATTTTGTGTTTTGCTTCTTCCATTGTTTTTGAGACTCATTTATGTTGCACATGTCAAAAGTTAATTTCTTTGTATTCGTGTATTATATAAGGATCCATCAATTGTTTTTTCATTCTTCTGTTGATGAAAAATTGGGCTACTTCTAGTTTTGGGGGGCTTTTTTTTTTGTTTTTTTGAGTTGGAGTCTTACTCTGTCACCCAGGCTGGAGTACAGTGGTGTGTTCATGGCTACCGCATCATCTACCTGCTGGGCTCTGGCGATCGATCTTCCACCTCAGCCTTCTGAGTAGCTGGAATCACAGGCATGAGCCACCAGGTCTGGCTAAATATATTTTTTTAATTGTAGAGATGAGTTCTTGCCAAGTTGCCCAGGCTGGTCTCAAACCCCTGGTTCAGACAGTCCTCTCATCTCGGCCTCCCAAAGTGCTGGGATTACAGGCGTGAGCCATCGCGCTCGGCATTGGCTACTTCTAGTTATTGGCTATTAATAAGGTGGACGTGAACATTTTTACACAAGTCTTTTCTGCACAGTTTTAAATGATTTTTCTTAGATAAAATACCTAGGAATTGTTAGATCGTAGATGTATATTTTTGTATTTTTACGTGCGTATTTACCTTTTTTTAAAACTACCGAACAGTTCTTCAGTGATACTATTTTATATTCTAATCATTGCAAAGGGTATATAGTACATCTTCTTTTTTAAAAAGGATTTTTCTCTTTTTTATTCTATAAGAACTTTATTGATATATAATTAACATTAATCCATTTTAGTATATAGTTCAGTGAGTTTTATTTGGTGTGTGTGTATTTTGTCTGCATTGTGTGCTAAGCCTTGGCTCAGTGAGTTTTGACAAATGCATATACTCAAGTGACTATCACTACAGTCAATAGATAGTATATCTTCACCCAAAAAGGTTTCCTCATGCTACTTGCCAGTTAATCCACACTCCCACACTGATACCCCCTTTTCTTGTCTCCATATAGACATGAATTTTCTTGGTTCCCATTACTTCCATATAAGTTCATCTCCCAAGTATTTCTCCCTGTTTCTATTGATTTAGTCCCTTCCCTAACTTATGTTTCTGTTCCATTGCTGGTCCATGGAGATGTAGTGTCTTAACTTTAGCACCTGATATCTTCTTTTAAAAGGAAGAGAAAGAAGGATTTAAAAACTGCAAAACATCTACTACCCAAATCTACCGTCCAGACTTCTTAAACGTCCATGATTTGCATTTTTCGCTTCAAATATCTTTACAGGAAAGAGAAAAGATGTTATATGTCACTCTGGTTCAAGTCTCAGTTTCTATTCAGCCCAAGAAGTATCCATGATCCTGATGTTAATGAGTTTGATCTTACACATACTATGTTTTTTCAATTTAATATTTAAATATATTTTAAATTTTGTATACATTTACATAAATGATACCATACTTGTTTTTATTTAACACTGTTTTTAAAATTATCCATGTTGATATTTGTAGATCTAGTTAATTTAACTGCATTGTATCCCTGTATGAATTTATTAATTTGTTTACTGATGTCCAATAAGTCATTTCCAATTGCTTTTATTACATATGATTGCTGTAGTGACCATTCTTGTCAATGTCTTCTAGTATGCACATTTGTTGGAGAACATGTACAGATTTTTTTTAGCCTAATATACCTAGAAGTGGAATTGCCAAGTCACAGAGATGTACTTTTTTTTTTTTTTTTTTTGAGTTATAGTCTCATACTGTAGCCCAGGCTGGAGTGCAGTGGCATGCTCACGACTACCCCAGCATTGACCTGCTGTGCTCCAGTGATCCTTCTGCCTCAGCCTCCAGGTAGCCAGAACTACAGGCGCATGCTACCACGCCTGGCTAATTTTTTTATTTATTGTAGAGATGCGGTCTCGCCAGGTTGCCCGGGCTAGTCTTGAACTTGTAGTCTCAGGCAATCCACTCGTCTTTGCCTCCCAAAGTGCTGGGATTACAGGCTGAGCCACTGAGCCCAGCCAGGAATGTACATTTTTAACTTACTAAGTATTGCTAATTGCTCCCTAGAATGTCTTTTCCAAGTTAGTCTCCACATCAGCAATGTACAAGATTTTCCATTTCTAACATATGTGCCATTCTTGCAAGTGTAAGAATATAGCTCTTTTTTTTTTTTGGTAGAGACAGAGTCTTGCTGTGTTGCCCAAGCTGATCTTGAACTCCTAGGCTCAAGTGATCCTCCTGCCTCATCCTCTCAAAGTACTGGGATTACAGGTGTGAGCCACCACACTTGGCTCTAACTCATTTTTTATTTCTGCTTTCTTTTTTGTGAATTGCCTCTTCATATCCTTAGTCTATTTTTTTGGTTAAGATATTTGTATATAGATGTGAATTCTTTGTCAGTACTTTTATCGTTTTAATATGTATTTCAAAAAATTGTTTTTAGTGCCATATGTTTTCAGTCTGTGTTTTTCTTAAGGGGTATTTTTAGCATAAGCTTCAAATGCTCCCTTGGCCAGATAGGTGGGAAGAGTTTTGATACTCTCTCATTCTTGATGTTCCTCTTTTCTTCCTTCCAGACTCTTTGAAACAGATGGTCATCATGTTTAGACATTAACAGTCACATATGTATATGTCCATTTGAAAATGGCAGAGGGCAACAACAATGAAGAGGTAATTCACTTGAACAACTTTCACTGCCACCGGGGACAAGGTAAGTTGTTCTCACTTTCTTCCTTTCCTGGTTGATTTTTTGTATCACAGTTATAACTTCTTTAAAATGAACCTATTTTGCTGGGCATGGTGGCTTACACCTGTAATGCCAGTACTTTGGGAGGCAGAGATGAGAGGATTGCCTGAGCCCATGGGTTCAAGACCAGCCTGGGCAACATGGTGAGACCTTGTCTCTACAATAAATCAAAAAATTAACCGGGCATGGTGGCTCTTTCCTGTAGTTCCAGCTACTTGGAAGGCTGAGGCAGAAGGTTCGCCTGAGCCCAACAGGTCGAGGCTGCGGTGACTGAGAGTGTGCCACTGCAATCTAACCTAGGCAACCGAGAGAGACTCTAACTCAAAAAAAAAGAAAAATAAGAACCTATTTTGCACCATTTAGAATGCAGATATTTCATTTTTAGACCTCAGAACATCAGGTTAAAAGGAGTTGTTAGACTAAAGTTTTGCCAAATGATAATACCTGCTGGCATAAATGAAGTTTAAAAATCATTCATCACATCTAGATTAATAAGCTATTAATTAGCTGGTAAAGAGCTATAAATATGCGTTCACTGGGTCTTAAGAGGTAGGATTATGAGAACAGCATCAGTTCTCTGGTTTGAAGGCATGGTGACTATAAAGGAATGCTCTCGTCGGCCTATATGATCTGAAATACTATAGGTGCTACTGAAGCAGTCCTGCCCTCACATGTTGCTTAACTTTTGTGGGGGGCAGAAGTTTCTGGCTTAGCCTCAAGGGGATTTTGGAACATGTATTTTTTCATTTTCCGGTGTTTAAAGTTTTGGGGGCCGGGCTCAGTGACTCAGCCTGTAATCCCAGCGCTTTGGGAGGCCGAGGTTAGTGGATTCCCTGAGCCCGCGGGTTTGAGACCCGCCCGGGAAACTTGGCGAGACCTCATCTCTGCAATAAATCAAAAATTAGCCCGGTGTGGTAGCACACACCTGTAGTTCCAGCCACTTGGAAGGCTGAGGTGGAAGGATCACCAGAGCCCAGCAGGTCAAGGCTGCGGTGGCCGAGAGCGGCCATTGCACTCTAGTCTGGGCAATAGAGTGAGACTCCGACTCGAAAAAAAAAAGATAAAGTTTTGGGAGATTCATTTATTCGTAAAGGGAAGAGGATATGCATTTCTATACCATTCTTAAATGTTTATGATACTTCCTGTTAAATTCTAATTCACATTTACACTTGGTCTAAAAGGAAAAAAATTATAATATATTCATTTTTTGCAAGTGTTAATTCCATGAAAGAGGATGTACTGGTTTTGTTTTCTCCCACTGATAACATTTTGTGCTTGTGAAGTTTGTTGTTTTTTGTTTTTTTGTTTTTTTTTTAGCAGAGTAAATTACAGTTGACTCTTGAACAATGAAGGTATTCGGGGTACTGACTCCTCCTTAGCCTGTGCAGTGGGAAATCCATGTATAACTTTTGACTCCTGCCAGAATTTAACTACTAATAACCTACTGTTGACTGGAATCCTTACCAATAACAGTGGAGTAACACATATTTTGAGTAACACATATTTTTCATGTTGTATGTATCATATACTATATTATTACAAGACAGTAAACTAGAGAAAAGAAAAGATTACTAAAAAAAATCATAAATACATCTATTTGACAGACCTGGAGCAGTTTATTGTCTGCTATCGAGGTTTCCACTGTAGATGCAAGAAAAAAGTGTCCTTACGCTTTCTGTCTGTGTGATTGTGGCAGCAAAGATTGAATAGAGGAATACTGGGGAAAGAAGAAAGAAAGAAAGAGAAAAAAGAAAGAAAGAGAAACTATATTTACTACTCATTAAATGGAAGTGGATCATCCTAAAAGTCTTCATTCTCATCTTCCTCACCTTGAGTAGGCTGAGGAGGAGAAAGAAGAGGAGGGGTTGGTCTTGCTGTCTCAGGAATGGCAGAGGTGGGGAGAAAATCTACATATAAGTGGAACCGCACAGTTCACATTTGTGTTGTTCAAGGATCAGCTGTATGTATACATATACATATTTGGTTTTTAGATGATTTAAAATTGAAAAAAATTTCTTAAGCGAATAAATCAAAAAAGATAAATGAAATTGCTTGTTTTGAGTACAAAAGAAATATTGATATTTAGGATTTTACTAATAGTATATTCTAACTTGGTAGTAATTGTATCTGTAATTTACTGTGTTTTAAATCTTAGTTATAATTTGTATTTATAAATCGTTTCCAGATTTTTTGTACATGTGTCAAATTAATGTGATTGTTGTTTTTTAATTCAGTTTTAAATATACTTGAACAGAGTTTAATTTCAAAAAAAAGAACAACTAATTTCTTTTAGAAAATTACTGACTTTTGGAGATAAATTTTCTGTTAGACAAGTATATATACTCTGCTCACATCATGAGAATTTTTTTTCAGGTGTTGGGAGTTGTTTTGTTTTTATCAGCGGCATAATTTTTATTATGCACCAACCTCTTAGGGTTTTTTAAAGTGTATTGTTCAGTGAGTTTTGACAAATGAATATACTCCTTCAATCATGATATAGAACATTTTTATCACTCCAAAACGATTCCCTTGTGCCCCTTTGCGGTGAATGTTTACCTCATTCCTGGCCTCAGGAAACCACTGAAATGCTTTTTTTCACTGTGTAATTTCATATAAATGAAACCATACTGAATATATTTTTTTGTACTTGGATTATTTTGCCCAAGGTCATGTTTCTGAGATTCATTCATGTTGTTGCATGTATCACTAATTAATTTTTTTTAATTTTAAGTTAGAGACACTCTGTCGCCCAGGGTGGAGTACAGTGGCACACTCCCGGCTACTGCAGCCTCAACCTGCTAGGCTCAGTTGATCCTTCCACCTCAGCCTTCCAAGTAGCTGGAACTACAAGCACGCGTCTCCATGCCCAGCTAATTTTTTTATTTATTGTAGAGATGAGGTCTCACCAGGTTGTCCAGGCTGGTCTCGAACTCATAGGCTCAGGCAGTCCTCTCACCTAGGCCTCCCAAAGTGCTGGGATTATAGGCGTGAGCCACCATGCCAGGACATGTTTTTATTTTTTTATATATTTTTTACATTAAATATGTAGGGTACAATTCAGGATTACATATACAAATGTTCATTATGCAGGTACCCTTGTTGATGAAGTATGCCCGCCCCTGGCAGTTTCCCACTCCTGCCCCCGCCCTCCACTAAATAGTATTTTACCTACTCACCTTGCATTCCATATCCAGTGGAAATAGGCTTAATAATTAAGATATAATAAAGAAAGATTGACAGCACAGGAATGAAAAAAGGTACATCATGTAAACAGCCACACAAAAAAAGAGCTGGTATGTCTATATAATATCAGATACAACTGATAGAGACTCTAACCAGAAGCATTAATATAGTTCATAATTCTAAAAGATTCAGTACATTGGGAAGATAATGCTAATGCCTGTACATTAGTAAAAAGCAAAAATTATACAAAGCAAAAATTGTCAAATCTAAAAGCAGAATTGAGCAAATCCACAATTATAATGGGAGGTATTTTTTTGGTTTGTTTTTTTTTTGTTTGAGTTGGAATCCCACTCTGTTGCCCAGGTTGGAGTGCAATGGCACGCTCACGGCCACTGCAGCCTTGACCTGCTGGGCTCAGGTCCTTCCACCTCAGCCTTCCAAATAGCTGGAACTATAGGCACTCAGCACCACGCCTAGCTAATTTTTTGATTTATTGTAGAGACAAGGTCTCACCAAGTTCCCAGGCTGGCTTCAGGCAATGCATTCACCTCAGCTTACCAAAGTGCTGGGATTATAGGCTGAGCCACCAAGCCCAGCTGTCTTTTGATTTTTTAATGAGAGCCATCCTTACTGGTGTTAGGTGGTGTCTCATAGTTTTGATTTGCATTTCTCTGATGATAGTGAGGCTAAGCATTTTTTATGTTTGCTGGTTGCTTGAATATCTTCCTTGAAGACCAATCTTCTACACTCACACAAATGTGTATGCTTCCTCTCTCAATTACTGACAGAAATGTGTTTTTAAAACTCCCATTATAGGAGTTTTAAAAAATTTAATCAAAAAATTAGCCAGACTTCGTAGCATGCACCTGTAGTTCCAGCTATTTGGAAGGCTAAGGTGGAAGGATCACCGGAGCCCAGCAGTTTGACACTGATATGGCCGTGAGTGTGGAGCCCAGCAGTTTGACGCTGGTATGGCCTTGAGTGTGCCACTGCACTCCAGCCTGGGCGACAGAGTGAGACTCCACTCAAAAAAAAGAAAATAAACAGCAGTTGTTGGCACTGTGGAGAAAAGGGAATGCTTTTGCGTGGTTGGTGGGAATGTAAACCTTTTTGGAAAGTAGTTTGGCATTTTCTCAAGAAATAGAAGTTAAGGTTACCTATAATTCAGGAGTCTCACTTCTTAGAATATACCCAGAGGAACATAAATCACTCTACCAGAGAAACACCTGCACACGTTTGTTCATTGCAGCACTATTCACAGTAGCAAAAACATGGAACAAACCCAGGTGCTCATCAAAAGTGGACTGGATAAAGAAAATGTGTTATATATGCATGATAGGATATTTTAAAGCCATAAAGAATGAAATCATATCCTTTGCATCAATGTGGATGCAGCTGGGAGCCATCATAGTAGGTGAACTATCACAGAAACAAAAAACTGAAGAGTGCGCGTTCTCTAAGCAGACCCTGATCACTGGCCACATGAGCACAAAGGTAGAAACAGCAGATGCTGGACAAATGCTAAAGGAGGGGAGAGAGGAGGGAGGGATAAGGGGCACAGCAGTACACTGGCTACCAGGTCCACTATTGAGGAGAAAGGGACTGTTAGAAGCCCAGACCTCACCTGTATGTAATTTACTTATGTAGTAAGTCCTCGTATGTACCCTACAACTCTAAAATAAAATATATTTAGAAAGCAAACAAAAAGCACAGATGACTGGAAGAACATGGTCAATAATAGACAAATGTGGAATACTGTACCCAATGTATTTACCAAACTT